TTGCTGTGTTAATATAGTCAGGTATTTTAAATGTTTTTAATTGCCTTTGAATATCATTGTATAAACTTCAGCTGATCAGAAATATAAATTCTTACAAACAAGCAAACTTTTGTATATGTGATTTTAACAGTTATACTGACAGCACTACCTTGCTGTGTGAGTCAGCTTGGTGCAGTGATTAAGGCACCTGGCTGGAAACCAGGAGACAGTGAGTTCTAGTCCCACCTGAAGTCCAAAGCCAGCTGGATGACCTTGGGCCAGCTCTAGGAAGGAGGCAATGGCAAACTACTTCCAAAAAATTGGTCTGTCGGCACATCATTTCTGGTCTTCCACCTACATTTGATAAACACCAGTTTGCATACGGAAGAAATAGATCTACAGAGGATGCTATAGCCATCACTCTTCACACTGCTCTGACTCATCTAGAACCAAGGAGGGGCTATATGAGGATGCTTTTTGTAGATTTTAGTTCTGCATTTTACACAATTCTTCCATATAGACTAGTGTCTAAACTCCTGGACCTTGGCCTTTCTTATTCAATCTGTTTTTGGATTAGGGATTTCCTGTCTGGCCACTCACAGAGGGTCAGATTAGGTAATCATATATTTTCAGCCCTTATTCTTAACACTGGTAGACCACAGGGTTGTGTGTTGAGTCCCTTACTCTATACTCTTTATGTGCATGACTGTATTCCCACTCATGCTAGTAATACTATTACTAAATTTGCAAATGATACAGTAGTAGTGGGACTCATTTCTAGGGGGGAATGAGTCTGCCTCCCAAGACGAGGTGGATCGGTTGCTTTCGTGGTGTGGACACAATAACTTGGTCCTCAACACCAATAAGACCAAGGAACTTATAGTGGACTATAGAAGGAACAGATCAGACACCCAGCCCTTACTTATCAATGGAGACCAAGTGGAGCAAGTGGTCAGTTTTAAGTTTCTGGGTGTTACCATAAAAGAGGAGCTGACTTGGGGTGCTCACATTGCAGCCCTGGTCAAAAGGGCCCAGCAGAGATTATACTACCTGAGACTTCTCAGAAAACAACAACTGAATGAAAAACTGCTGGTGACCTTCTACCACTGCACCACAGAGAGTATCTTAACTTACTGCACCTCTGTATGATTTGCTAATTGCACAGTGGCAGATAGGAAAGCACTCGAGGGTTAATGTCATTGCCCAGAAGATTATTGGTTGCCCTCTCCCCTGTTTTGAAGAGTTTTATAGCTCCTTAAGAAAGTTCAAAACATTCTCAAGGATCCATCTCATCCTGCGCACCCTTTTTTTAAACTATTACCACCTGGCAGGTGGTACAGAATAATAAAAACAAGGACAAATATGCTGAAAAACAGCTTCTATCCCAGGGCAGTAGCTATGTTGAATTCTACTGTATAGTTCAATGTTTGTGGGGTGTTGGGGGTTTTCGGTTCAATGTGTGCAGTGTGAAGGATGTGTGTTTGTTTATTGTCATGGTCATGATGTGCACTGAAGATGGTGTTCGATTTCGTTGTACAAGGTGCAATGACCATAAAGTAAACTAAACTAAAAACTTGCCAAGGAAACAGTAGGGACTAATCCAGGCAGTTGTCAGGAATCAAAAGGCAACAAAGCAAATTTTTACTACCTTCTAACCAGCAACCCTTGGTCGCATGTTTTTGTAGCCTTGTTCAATGTCTTTACATTTTGCAAAAATTTTGAATACTGACAAACATTTCATAGCACCCCTGTAATTCAGCAAAAGTCCATCAAAGTCTAATTTCAGATCAAGGTCAAATAGTCCGTCCTTGTAATAACTCTCAAGTAGAGTAAAATCAGTCAAAGACACATTACTTACAGCACTTTTAAAACACATTTAAGTCACAGTTTATTTGGCGCTTGGAGAATGATATAGTGATGGCTTCTCTTTTTTTAAAAGGGGAGGGGGAGGGAGAGATAAACACATTCGTTTTCTGCAAAACTCGATGATATGTGTGCCTTAATGCAATGCAATCTATCAAGCTTCCTAAAAGATTATCCAAAGCCTGCATTGATTTTTCATATTATTGATTATTCATATGTTTCATTGCTCATCTATTTCCTTTCTGAGATCAGAAGAAAGTATGGAAGAAGCTTCAGTTTTGTTTCTAAAAGAAAGTGGGGGGGGGGGGAGAGGAGGAGGAAAGATTGCCAAAGCAACCCAGCAGTCAACATTGCCACCCACTTATTTGCTACTAACTTAATCAAAGCTTAACTTCAAAGCAGCCCATAGCTGCATTAAAGAGGAAATTGCTCTTCAAAGCAGGCTTGGACTACTGAGCTGGAATGAAGCCAAAAACTAAGGCTTCTCCTGCTTTTTATTGCCTCCTTCCCCCCCCCCTTTTTTTTTTTTTTTGGTGAGAGTAGACAGCCTGTGAAAAGCAGGGAACGGCTCTCTCAGAAAGGCAATTCCTGGAGAGAAAAAACAATGAGCTAAACGTGGAAAAGGACTGAGCACCGTTACAAATGGAATCTGCACAGTGTCTAATAATAAACAGCTTATCACCACAGCATGCAGCAATTTTACTTTCAATCCTTGGGGTTTGTGATACAGTAGAAGTCCACTGATCACATAAATCCTTGATGTCCAATATCTGTTGAATATTCAGCATCTAACGGGTGGTGTTAGTTTTCACTTCTGATACTACTGATAACTGTTAACATTTGAGGTAAATTTATAGGTGTGGATCAATGATGATCAATCCATCAATTTGGAGCATTACTACTCTATATTATGAACCTTGGCAGCTGTGTTATCTTTTTTTAAGAAAATATATGATGACAAAATACAGTGCAAGCATAAGTCTGGTGACTCAGAAATAAGTCTGAATTAAATTGAGGCTCAGTATATATATTGAGAGCCAAGATACTCTCAATCTTACATGGGAAAAGACCCGAACACGCCAAAACCTGTATGTGTGTATGTGTATATATATACGTATACGTATATACACTCACTACCCATGTGAGTTAAAGTGTCTGGAGTGAGAAGGAGTGCGGGCTGACAGAGGGGGTGGGGGAATCTACTCCAGCCTTGGAGAAATTTAAAGGAGCTGCTTCCAAAATGCTTGTCTGTTAAGTGCTGTGTGTGTGTGTGTGTGTGTGTGTATGAGAGAGAGAGAGAGAAGAAGGGAGAGAAAGAAAGAAAGAAAAATAGGAAGAGAGAGAGAGATAAAACTCTGTGCTGTTATTTTTAATTGTTCCATTATTTATCATGTGTTAATATTTTACACTGTCCCTACACCTAGATTGATTTTTCTGCCTTTCTTTTGCCCAGGGCTACCACATATTTTTCAGGGTTTACATGCATTCAATGTCAATAGTCCAGAGCATAAAATACACATTGTTTAATAAGAGTTGAAAAGGGACCTTGGAGGTCTTCTAGTCCAACCCCCAGCTCAGGCAAGAAAACTGAAGATGCCAAACTCTGAGTAGAAATGCTGGGAAAGGTGTCAGAATCATACTTAGAAGGGACCTTGGGGTGAACCCTATACCATTTCAGAGAAATGGCTGTCCAGTCTTTTCTTAAAAACTTCCAGTGATTGAGTACCCAGAACTTCTGGAGACAGGCAGTTCCACTGGTTAATTGTTCTCACTGTCAGAAAGTTTCTCCTTAGTTTTAGGTTGCTTCTCTCTGTTCATTTTCCATCCATTGCTTCTTGTTTGCATTCTGCTTCTTTGGAAAATACATTGTCCCTCTTTCTTTGTGGCAGCTCCTTAAAAACCTGTTGCCTATCACACTCTTGAGTAAAGCATGTGAGCCATTTCCTCTTTTCAATGGTCCATGAAAGTACATCTATAGTATGCAGATAATAAAGTCAAAAAAGGTGAACAACATTTTTACAGAACTATAGATAAGTTGAGGCTGGGTGACAAGGAATGGCTGGGAGGGGAGGGGCCAGGTGAAGCACCCCTTGATGTGAGTGACATTGAGTTGGCCATGCCCACCCAGTCACATGACCACCAAGCCATGCCCACCCAGTCACATGACCACCAAGCATGCCCACCCAGTCACATGACCACAAAGCCACACCCACTAAATAAGCCACACCCACAGAACCCATAGTAAAAAAAATTGAATTCCACCACTGGACAGCACAATGTAATTTTTACTGAAATCACATGTAATGAACCCCTAGAATTGCTGGGTCTTTCATGCTATAGAATTTTTACACACACACACACACACACACACACACACACACACACAAAGTATGCAATTTGTTTCTCCTAACAGTGTCCCTTGAACATTCTGTTTTCTCTTTCCCTTCCTCATTTTGCAATTAACCATGTTGAAATCTTGCTTGCCAGGACAAGTAAAGGAACACAAGGGTGATATGGTACCTGCAACCCCAGGTTGCATTGCGACCTCAAACATAAGCTTAGATTTGCTTCTCTTTTTGATATACCACCTGTACCACTCAGTGAACAGAGATTCATAAATTACATGTACATAGTAAGCTAAACATAAATGTCGTTTTCAAACCACAGTGGCTAAGCTAAAACCCAACTATCATAATATATCCAGGTCATCACACTAAGCCCCAATGAGCTTTGTTTTTGCTTCACGTGTTTTTATATCCCCCTTTTATTATTTTTTACAAATAACTCAAGGTGGCAAGCATATCTTCCTCCTCCTATTTTCCCCACAACAAAAACCTTGTAACGTGAGTTGGGCTGAGAGAGTGCGACTGGTCCAAGGTCACTCGGTTGGCTTTCATGACTAAGGCAGGACTGGAACTCACAATCAATAAACCCAATTCATGTGGTGCATTATGAGACCATAACTATATTCTGTACTCCACATAATGATTTACACACCTAATTGTGCCAAGAAATTGGAGCCATGCAGACATAAACATTCGTTCTTCATGCAGATCAATCCCATGTGGAGCGATGGATTGACCTCAATCCTTAAACCTAGAAGATATTGGACGACACTGGGAAATGCCAGATCAACTGTTCAGTCCATAGGTACTGACCTGTCCATTGGGAAATGGGCTTCTTCCCCTTTCCGGAACTCTGTGCTATTCTCCAGCCTGGCTAGCACTTCCATCCTCTTCACCATTGTCTCCAGCATATCACTCATTTTCCTCAGCACTCCTCTGGACTCCAGAGTCCCCATCACTGCAGGCATACAGGAAAGCAAGAGAAAGAGAAAGGAACAGAAGAACATTCTATGGTGGTGCTCAAGAAGCAGCAGAGATACATTCAGACAGATGGAAAGGGCAAACATTAATTCTTGTGAATGGGGAAAAGGCGGGAAGGAGTTGCTGACAAGATTTTGATCTGACACACATTACTACATGGTACTATGCTCTGTTCTTGGATTAGCTTCTTCTCAGCAAAAACAACACAATAACCTTGGTGGCCCCCTAAAAGCAAATATAACATTTTGTGATGGGCCTGGGTGACTCGGTCCTGATTGAGATCAAAGTGCTGATTCAATAGGCAAAGAAGTCATGAATACAGCTGAGTTTGCAATCTCAGATTCATAGATTCAGTATAGATATAGAATATAGAAATAGAATTCTGTATTGGCCAAGTGTGATTGGACACACAAGGAATTTGTCTTGGTGTAAATACTCTCAGTATACATAAAAGAAAAGATACATTCGTCAAGAGTCAAGAATCATCAGGTACAACACTTAATAATAGTTATAGGGTACAATAAGCAATCAAATCATACTAAGAAACAGTCAATATAAATCATAAAGTTACAAGCGACAAAGTTACAGTCATACAGTCACAAGTGGGAGGGGATGGGCAGTAAGGAGTGATGAGAAGATTAACAGTAATAGTAGTGCAGACTTTGTAAATAGTTGAACAGTGTTGAGGGAATTATTTGTTTAGCAGAGTGATGGCTTTCGGGGGAAAAACTGTTCTTGTATCTAGTTGTTCTGGTGTGCAGTGCAATATAGCATCGTTCTGAGAGAAGGAATTGAGACAGTTTATGTCCTGGATATGAGGGATCTGTATTCATAGAAAAACCGAGTTGAGCTTCTCTATTAGTCTCCAAAAAGAAGTTTCAGAGCGTTTGAAACACCTTCATTTTCTAATCCTGCCAATTTTCAGCTTAGTGGCTATATATTTTTCCAAATATTATCCCTGCATAACTTTTAAGGCAGAGAATGCCAAGTAAGAAAAAGACAACATAGCAGTTTCCAGATTATCTGGGAAAGAGCCTTAAAAAAAACAACCCAATGAGGTATATGCTCAAACAAACAAGCTTTAAAAGTGGCTTTAAAAGTAAGTTCTATTTTTTTTTTGTCTTGCTTATCTATCCTGCCACGTTTGGTATACTAACACTCGAAGAACCATCAATGACTTGCTCATGTGAGATGATGCAGCTTTGCTGCCTCTGATCCTTCAGATTTTGGAGGTGTCAGGAAGGTAGGTACCTGAAGCTCCCCTCCCCAGTGGCAGGACTGGATGGTGTCAGCGCTGTGGCAAACTGTGAACACTTTGTTAGTTACGAGCAGTAGAGACAGCAGAAGCAGGTTGGCACAACAAAATGCAACAACCTTCACAGAAACAGCCCACTGAGAAAGTTGTATTTGTAGCTTGCAGTCCTCTACTTTAAAATAAAGAGAGTGTGCTTTTCAGTACTACAGGTAGTCCTCAATTTACAACAGCTCATTTAGTGAGAGTTCAAGGTTACAATGGCACTGAAAAAAGTGACTTATGACCAGCTATCACATTATGACCATTGCAGCATTCCCATGGTCACATGAGCAACATTCAGATGCTCGTGCAACTGGTTCATACTTATGACCGTTGTGTGTCCCAGTGTCACCTTTTGTGACCTTCTGACAAGAGAAGTCAATGGGGAAGCCAGATTCACTTAACAACCGTGGTACTAATTAACAACTGCAGTGATTCACTTAACAACTGTGGCAAGAAAGAAAGGTCATAAAATGGGGCAAAACTCACTTTAACGAATGTCTCATTTAACAATAGAAATGTTGGACTTAATTGTGGTCATAAGTTGAGGACTACCTATTCTTGTGCTACTCTATTCATTTGTGGTCCAGAGATTTAAACCTCTGCCTCAATCCTGGGAATGTTAAAAGTAGAACCTGATTAATAAGTACATACAAGAAGTCCTTCTTGTTTCCATATTCAAAGTGCTGAGAATTGAACTGATTCCCAGTTGGTTTGGCAGGACCAGCAGAGAAGTATAAATAAATAAATAAATAAAACTCTAGTCCTTAAAGTTTGTAGTTGGCTACATTTAAAATGGTGAGAGCTGAAGAAAGAGAGTATTAGGTATAGTTCTGAGGAATCCAATCAATATACATGGTGAAATGGAAGGTGGGACACAAATATTTATGTGTTAAGAATTTGTCTTTGATCTATCACACGATTCTTATTTTTGATGTAATAGTCTAACATGGCCACCCAACCAAAGTTGTATCAATAATTTGGCATTTCCAGGATTTGTGCTGTAACCTTAGGCTTGTTACTCAATAAATATTTCCACAGCTATGGGAATTACTTCTTGCAAACACGTTCAGAGAACATTACAAACAGCATTAACTTTCATTACTTAATACATTTATCCATAGATTTCTTTATCATGTTGGCTTAGAAACCAAGCCTATGTTTTTTTTTTATTGTTTCTTTCATGATAATGCCAGAAAGACCTTGAGATGAAAGTAAAGGACAGAGAACAAATTCGTTCTGTATAATATTTATATGTACAGCCCCTACAAAGCTAAGTTACTCATCAAATTTATTGCTGTCATTTCATTCTTCTCTACTTCTTTAAAACAAATTTTCATTTACAAAGCAGCGGGAGGTGAGAGGACAAGAGAAACAATTGGGGACCTACAGACACACTGTAATGTAATGCATATTTTCCCTAGCATTCAAACATAGACCTGCCATCAAACAGTAAAATGCAGTGTGCCCCAATGTTCCAATGTAGAATACCATATCTGGGAGGCAAAATTTCTACTCTACTGCTGCCATCTAGGGGCTGTCTGGATTTTGCCAATCAAAGTGTAAGATTCCTAATATTTACTTTATTGATATTTTTACTTCTGTTACTTGGTTAGATTTATATCCATCCTTTTCTCCAAGAGCTCAAAACATTTTACAAGGTATCTCCCTTCATTATATTCCTACACAGCAATCCTATGAAGTAGGCTGGGCTGAAGGAAAGTGACAGCGCCATAGACACTGAAAAGGTTTCTGTTCATAATGGAACCTACGTCTCCCTGATCCTAGTTCAACCAATCACCCCCCATACCATACTAGCTCTTTTAAGACATATTTTGGGAATCAAGATTCAGGTCCACAATGGTTATCATTTAAATTTCAGGTTATTAATTGCATGACCTTTGTGAGGAGTTTTAATTCTTAGCAAAATTTGTATTATAATAGGCAAAGCATAAATAGACCAATTTTCTTGTGCAGAGATTGGCTAAGAAAAATAATACTATAGCTATATGGAGTTCTATATATCTACAATGAAGCTGTTAAGACATTTAAAAAATGTCAGAAGTATGGCTATCTGAGCTAGGGATGTTAAAATCTACTTTGCATTTTCATGCAAATTTCCCCAGTATCTACTTCTGAAATTGTCCAAAACGTCCACCCCTAAAAAAAAACAAAAAACCTTACAGTATCCTATTATGGAAAAATACATTAAAGATATACCACATTGGAGAAAATTGCTTGCAAGAGTGCATACATTAGGTGAAATGCATTTAAAAATGAATATTATTAGGAGAAAGTGCATACCGAATGCATATATTTTTGCAGATTTTTTTTTATATTACAAAGAAAAGAGCTGACCCAATCCCCTATGATAGAAAAATGAAATGTACAGGCGAACAAAATGTATGAAGTTATTCAGTTAAATCTTCCTGAATAATTTAAAATGTCTTTCTCTCCAACTAAACTCAATACACCAAGGATAACAACTTTGTTATTGTTTACACGCTTATTTCCCACCCACCCCCAAATGAGAGCAGAGATAATTAAGAATCCCTGATGCTGTTGGGACTGCCAAATTCTTAACTAGTTCTGTTCCAATGTTTTTAAGAACAACCTGACATGTAGAAATTAAGCAATTGGATTTTTTCCCATTACTTCATATCCATATTCACATCAGCCATTTAATTTCTGGAGAATTTAAAAAAACAAAGACATCAGAAGGTGGTTCAAAACTCCATCAAAACTTTACAATAGCAGCAGTGCAACATATTTGATTAAGTACTAGCCTGCCTTCAATGTGAGTGATCTGTCCAATAATAGGAGATGCCTTTTCCTTGTTTTAGTGAAGAATTTCCAGTTGGCTTTAAAAACTCATTTTTTTTAAAAAAAAAAGAGAGACTTATTTTTCTTGGCAACATATCTTTCAGTTGGGAAGGGAAGTTCTGCCACAAATGGTAACCTTGTGAACATCAACAAGCTTCCTTCTCCATGGGCTCTTTCGTGTGTGAGATGTCAGGCCTCTGTTCTTAAGATTACCCTTGAATTATAATGACCATAAAATTTGTGTTATAGATAGTCCTTTATTAAAAGGCAATCAGAGGACATTCTCCTGTTTGACAGATTGTTTGATCCAGATAAGATAAATTCTCATAAGTTGAATGTGATTTCTAGTGAATTCATGGACACATCTATGTTGTTCCTTGACAGCAATATAAAAATGGTTCATCCAAGCACACTTCCAAGATATTTCCCAATCTGGTTCGTAGCACATGATTTCTCAGTGGTCTCTCATCCCACTACTAAATAGATCAGACCCTGCTGAAGTTTCCAAGAGTAACCAAGATTGATTAAATGAAATATTTAGATAAAGTATCATAAGAATAATATATGGGGTCTTTATCAACAATTGAGGAAAAAGACTAGAATACCCCTTAACTGCTTGTCCCACTTGAATGAAATGATTTTTATTTAGAATAGAATAACATTTTCTAAAATTGTGTCTGTACATTTATTTTTTTATTGATTTATTTTTATTATTATTAAACAAATTTATATAGCCACCCAACTCACATAGGTGATTCTGGCTGATTTACAACATTTAAAAAAATCCACCATGTAATAAAAACTCATTTAAAAAAACAGACCCCACATCCATGGGAGCAATAACACGATCAAATCAGCTA